TCAGACACAAATAGAAGAATTAAGTTTGGAGAAATAGGAGCTACCTACTCTGCCAAAAGAAGGTAAAGAAACAATGAGTAATAATATAGAAACATTATAAAGGAAAGAGTGGAAATACTGGATCACTTTGATCTCATATTTGAAGCTAACTGCAAAGAAATCTTAGAAGAGCTTGGGACTTAAAGAAAATGGAAAAACAAATGAGAATATTTGGAAATTTCTCCTTTGGAAAAGTGGCAGGAGAGAAAAATAAGAGAAAAAGAAAGGAGAGGAGGTCCTCTTAAAGTTGAAGGTCATAAATGACACAAAGATAGAACAAGAATAATCTATCTGGACTTGTGTGTTACGCTAGTCAAACATGCAGGTTTTGTGTAGAGCATGGGTTTATGAGCATGGGCATTTGTTATCCTTAAATCTGAGTTAAAAAACTGCAATGAGAAATCAAGACCCGAAAAGAATTTCAGAACTTCAAAATGCAGTCCAATACTCAGCTACCATTCTAATTTTCTGGTTCAGAGAAACAAATAGCTGACTCTAAATTTTCTTCTCCTGAAACTATCATGTGACATAAAAATTTTCACTCAGGCCTGACAAATACCTTTTCATTACTCTAGTCAAATAAAGGATTTGTATTTCCTTACTGTGAGATTCATGATAAGATGGGAGAGGTATAAGCCAAAGATGAAACGGTTAGAAGACAAAGAAGGTATGACACTTGGATTCATATCTTGAAGAATTCCCTCTCACTTATCTCTGATCCATCAAAAGAGAGGAGAAGTGAGGATCAAAACAAGGATAGCAATAGATTTCTTAACCAAGAACTTGAATTTTTCTTTATTTTTATTGACCCCCCAGTGGTATTTTTTTTCTCAATACAAAATCAAAAATGTGATTTTTCTAAAAGGTAATTTGCTGAAACAAGTAGCTTTCTATTGTCTGCTGATATTTGCACAGACATGGGGAAATTACAGAACAAAGTTTTTTGAGAAGTACTTGAATTAAATATGACCATGGATGGGCCCTTAGTGGTATTTAGTCCCCACTAAGCCTCCCGCTTTCCTAGACAGCTGCCCTGTTTCTTCAGGCCTGAGACAAATATTTTAACATCTCTGGAATTAGGATCCATTTTTCAGTTGATGTGGATTTTTTTTCATATATCTGTGGATTATAATTTGCATTTTCTCTCTTTTTTATTAGGAGATTAAATAATGTTATGTCTTTTTCACTTTATTTTTATATTCATTTTTAACTTCATCTATATATTTAATAAATAAAGTATTTCACAACTTCTCTTCTTCCTACTGACTACCTCACTGGCACAATCAGAAGGGGTCCCAAGCATATCTAAGTACTTACCAGCATCTGTACCCAGGTGCCTTGCCTTCCTGCCTGCTGCCAAAGAACAATGTTTCAAAGAATAATCCCAAGATCCCTGAAGGTTCCCAGGATGCTATTGGGGGTTAACAAAGCCAAAACTATCCTCATAATAATTCGGTCATTATTTATCATTTTACTCAGGTTTTCTCACAAGTGCACAATGGAGTTTTCCAAAGATTCACAAGGAATGATATCATAGAAGTCTAAATTAAAAAGCAGATAAAAACTCAGCTCTCTTCTATTAGTAAAACCAGACATTAAAGAGATTTGCAAAAGTATAAAACAATGCCATTCTTCTCACTGAAGGCTTTTGATTGAGAAAATGGAGGATTTTGTTTCCCCACAGAAATTATATTTTTTGTTAACATGAAATGAGTTTATTTTTCTTTTAAAAATTAATATTTAAATTTTTCAGATATAGTTTGCATGCTAAATATAAAAAAAGATACACAACAATTCTTTAGGGTCCTCAATAATTTTTAAGATTTCAAAAGTGTCCTATGACCAAAATATTCAAGAATGATTGACCTAGATGCAGGGTTAGTGCTTCTACCTAAAGCCACCTTCTTGTCTTGAATACTAACCCCCATACTCTTTCACATACTCTAGCAATTCTCTTTCTTTCCCCCACCTCTCTCTCTCTTACAGAATTTTCATATATAAAATGCTGTTATTTCTTCTATTTTAAAGCAAAAACAAAACAAAACCTGTCTTGAATTTTCTTCCTCTGCCAGCTTCTCCATTCCTTCTCTGTTCACCTTTGCACCAAACCTTCTCAAAAGAGTTATCTGTACTTCTGGTAAAAAATTCCTCTTTCCATTCTCTCTTAAATCCACTCCCATTAAATTTTCTTATGCCTCTCTTTGCCCTAAAACTCCTCACTAAGCTCCCCAATTCTGTGCAAAATGCCAAATCCTTATTTGACACATAAATCATTCCATCTTCCTTGATACACTGACAGTTCTGGATTTGCACAGTTCTAAGATGCATGAATCTCAGTCACCACCATTTAGTAAAACAACCCAGTCCCTCAACAACATGGTTCAAATCCAAGTTACCACAGTTTATTAACCTTGAGTAATTCATAAATTAAAACTTCTATGTCAGGTCATTAGTGAACTAATTGTAACATAAATAGCAGATGCACATTATGATCAGTGACAATCACATCACTTGTCTCCAAGTCTATTGTCTCTTGGTTCCCGTGCATCTGTTTTTCAGTTCATTCACAGCCAAGTGCATAACTACTTTGCCTCCTCTTTCTTGGGGACACAGCAACATGATACTTTACAAAAATGGATCATCAAAAGAGGGAATTGTCCAAAAGTGAAATTCTGGTCAAACATAAATGGAGTTATGAAAGAAACAGTTGAATGTGGCAATGTGGATGCTGCTTTCTTTCAAAAGATGGTGGATATGTGGCCAGAGGAACTCCATGAAGGTGAAGCTACTGACACAGGTGAGGAAAGCAGTTGCAATGAAAAGGACGAGAATACCTTGGAGGCCCATAAAAATACTGCTGTGAGAAGAACTCTCAGAGACAACTTACCCTCAGTAAAGAAATTCTAGAATATCTTTCATGACATTTGAAGGTAAAAATGATAAAAATGTTAGAAATTGACCAAACTTAAACAGGAGTATGACAATGTGCCAAGTCACAGAAAACATGTTCACTCTGTATCACAAGTTACACAATTAGAACAAGGCAAGCACTGTTCAAACTACTCTTGATACTTTTTTTTCAAAAATAAAATACTTTACTTCTCAGTTCCCATTGTTTTAAACTACAATGTGCTGAGTAAAAACTAGTTTTACCATTTTTTTGTTTCCCTACATGAACATAATGATCAGAATTAATATGGTGACAAAAATTTTTTAACAGAATAATAGTAAGTTTTCCTGTATTACTACAGTTGTTTTTCACAGTCACTCAATGGTGTTTCCAGTCCCACACAACTGAAAAAGGAGGACTGTCCATACTCTCTTTATGTGACTTCCAGGTTGCCGTACTCTCTTGACTTTTTTTCTGCCTACTGGTGGTCCTTTCCAGTTTCTCCTGTTCTTAGCATCAGAGGACCTCAAAGCCTAGCTGCACTTTTTCTTTTTATTTTTCTTTTTGGTACTGAGGATTGAGCCCATGCTTTACTACTGAACTACAGCCCCTTTTATTTTTTTACTTTGAGATAGGGTCTCACTAAGTTGCTTAGGGCCTCAAAAAATTGCAGAGGTTGGCCTTGAACTTGCAATCCTCCTGCCTCAGCCTCCCAAGTCACTGGGATTACACCACTGTGCTGGGCTATTCACTTATTTATCTATACTAACTCCCTTTGAAATTTCATTCAGTCTCATGGCCTAAAATATCATCTATATGACAACAATTGCCACATTGACTTCTTCAGCCTAGACCGCTCACCTGAACTCCTGACTTACATACCCAACAGTCTATATGACATCTCTACTTGGCTATTTCTTTTAAGTATTAAACCTAGTATATCTAAAACCAAAATTCCCACCTTTATTCCACTAAAAACCTCCTCTATCTATAGTCCACATTTTTCCATCTCAGTTGATGACAAGTCCTTCCTTCCTGATGTTCATGCCAAAAACCTTAGAGTATCCTTAACTATTCTCTTTTTCTCACAGCCCCTGTATAATCTGTCTGTAGTCACACTGGCTCTACCTTCAAAATATAATGAAATCACCACACTTTTCCCACACCTCCACTCACCACCCTGGTCCATGCATCATCATGCCTTGCCAGGACTACTACTGTGATCCTCTTAGCTGGTCTCCTTCCTAATCTATTTTCAATAGAACAGCCAGGGTAATTCTTTTAAAACATATATCACATCTTGCTATTCCTCTACTCAGAAAATCCCATGGATTTTCATTTCATTCAGAGAAAGACCAAGATCTTTCCACAGACCTGTTAGGCCCTACACAACCTGGCCCTTTGTTAGTTTTCTAATTCAATCTCTTCTTCTCCCTCACCTCCCTCCATGTTAGCTACTCCCACTAGTCTACTGCTGGCCAGTGCTACCTGAATACTCTAGGCTGGGTGTGTGCTACCCCTCAGAGACTTTGCACTCTTTATACAAGCTATTCTTCCAGATGTCCACCAGGTGAACTCCCCAAAGTGTTGCTCAAGGTCACTTTCTTAAGGTACAATCATCCACACTAAGTGACTACAACCCAGTTTCCCCATCCAGAAGCCCTTATCATGTGCATTTTGCCCTATTTTCCCATGGCATTTGTCACTTAGTATACTGTATAATTTACTTATTTGTGTTAATATCTATCTCTTGCTGCTTAGAAGGTCAATTCCATGATGTCAACAACTTCTTGTCTATTTTATTTATTGCTAAAGCTCAATGACCTAGTGATAGCATCTTAAATACAGGTATTCAATAATTATTTGCTAAATAAATGTAGCTGAAAAAGTTCCAAGTTACTAGTTATTATACTAAATTCAGGGAACTTTTTGTGTAGATCTAATAAACTCCAATATGATGAGGGAAATTTGAAAATCTAAAATATTATTACACATTCATTTTGACAAGAATTACTTCCTGGAAATTTTGCATATGCCAAGGCCAAAAAGGACCCTAGGCAGTCAAACATACTTCTCTAGTTCTGGTGCAGGAATTTCTTGCTTTCGGACATGGTTCTGAATTGACGAGAGTGCTTCTGGTGAATACTGGGCAGCATTGCTCTCCATGTATTTTAGAACATACTCATCTATATCAAGGATGATGAATCGGTGGCCAAACACTGGAAAGAGGTAGCAATACACTTAGTTTTATTGTTTCCCTCATGTGATCAGAGATAAAATACTATTAACACTCCAACGATATGACCCAGACTAATGAATTATCAATAGCTGTATAAATTAATATGCAGTACTTTTCTCAGCTTTTAGGAAGACCATTGTCAACACCTAACTAACATGGTTGCATTAATGTAAAAAATTTAGTGCCAACAAATGCAACCAATCTAAAGTTTAATTGATAAGGAATGAGGTTAAGATATTATACCACTTATAAAAGTCTACTAGATTTATCTCATCTGGAATAAAACCTAATTGCCTCTCACAAAACTTAAATTAATTAAATTACAACTAAGAAGAACCCATTTACTCAGTCAGTGGGAAATTCTGAACTGTGTTTGGACCTACCGTCAATGACAGCACCAATGAAGAAGTCGCTAGGGCCATAGTAGATGGGGTTTTCTGCCTCAGAGAATGGTTTAATAACTCTAGTCCTCCCAAGGTACTTGCCCCCAATGATACCAGAATTTCTAACAGGAGGCTCAAAGATACTGATCATGTCAGTGGCTAGAAAATAAGAGAAGATAAATCGGCGGTCTTTGTCTTCTGGGATAGGGGATTCCTAGAAGGGTGAAGAAAAGAAGATGTTATGAAGATTCCTAATCTAGCCAGTTTCCCCAAATTTAAATTCCTACAGAGCCAGGTATATAATAAAAATCAATCAATAAACATAAGTTCTACTACATATTTTATGCATTACAAAGCACATATAAAAATATTGGGGGCTATGAAATAAGTGCACTCATAAGTAAGATATAGATAGCCAGGCATGGTGACGGGCCTGTAATTCCAGTGGCATGGGAGGCTGAGGCAGGAGAATTACAAGTTAAAAGCCAGCCTCAGCAACTTAGTGAAGCCCTAAGCAACTCAACAAGACCTTGTCTCCAAAATATGAAAAAGGGCTGGGGATGTGTCTCAGTAGTTAAAGACTTGGGGTTCACTCCCGGGTACCAAAAAAAAAAAAAAAAAAGAATATAAAATCAACAGACAAAATAATATTTTCTTAACAAACATTACATATTGTATGGTCTTGTATACCCTTTGGAAGGCATGTACACTGTTTTGAAAATCACTGTTCAAATTCTGTTTTTAATGCTCTTCTAACCCTTCCTCAAGTCCTCAACTAGCTTGCTAAGCATACAGTTTACCACTGAGCTACACTCCAGGCCACAACTTTTAAAAAATACAATATATTACTGGGCATGGCGGTGCACACCTGTAATCCCACCTACTCAGGAGGCTGAGACAGGAGGATCACAAATTTGAGGACAGCCTCAGCAACTTAGCAAGACCCTAAGCAACTTAATGAGACCCTGTCTCAAAATTAAAAAAAAAAAAAAAGAAATTGAAAATTTGAGTAGTTGAATGATTTGCTCCTCATTTGTGAATAATGTAATTACATAGTTTTCAAAGGACCTAACATAGTACACTAAAATTCATATCAGACAACCACCATGTGTAGTACCTGATGTAAATAAACTTTGTTGAGCAAATTGGATTCTTCTGTGTTTTTGGTCTTCAGAGTTTCTTTGACAGGCAGGACATGCACCAGAACCAATTTTTCTCTTGTAATGGCATAAAGTTTTTCTTTTGTGCTCAAATTAATGTTTTTACACTTCCCCAAGTTCCTGGGCCAGCACTCTATTCTGAGTCCCAGGCAGTTTACCAGCAGATTTTTACTTAGGCAACAATCACCTGCCTAGCTTTCTTTCACTTTATTGTCTCACAACATGTCCAGTGTCCTTGTCTGAACTCCTTATATTAACTCAATTATACTGAACCTATTGATATTTGTCTCTGGTCATTTTTAACTTAATTTCCCTCTTTTCTTCTGAAGTCCCCACCTCACTCCTACACCTTTCCCCCTGATTGTCCAGCATGCTTTCTTTTTTTAGAACTTTTGTGAGGAGCCTAATAAATACAGTTCTCTACTTTAGCAAATAAGTCAAAAAAAAAAAAAACATTTGAAAATTACCTTGACCAGAAAGAATATCACTTCTTTTTCCCTGACTATTCAAAGATACCCACTATTTCATTGCTAATAATTCTGATGGCTTTCTTTTAAATGTTTTTTTTTTTTTTTGTCATGAACTACAACAAAGAGAGAACTACAAAAACAAAGAAAAACCCGTAATATACAGCTCAAAGAATTTCACAAAGTGAACAACCATGTAATCACCACCCATGTCAAGAAATAGAACACTGACAGAACCTAGAAAGTGCTCTCTATATGCTACCTTTCCCCACCAAAAAAGCCACTATCTTGAGTTGTATGGTTTTCTTTATTATCATCACAAACAGGCATCCCAAAATAGTTTTGTTTTGACTGCTTTTAAATCTTATTTTAAATGAAATTATATGACATGTATGTATTAATTTGTGTCTGTAACCTTACATTTTAAATTATGTTTGGCCAGGCATGGCGGCACATGCTTGTAATCCCAGCAGTTCAGGAGGCTGAGACCAGAGGATCACAAGCCCAACTTAAGCAACTTAGTGAGACCCTGTCTTAAATGACAAAAGGGCTGGGGATGTAGCTCAGTGATTAAGTGTCCCTGGGTTAAATCCCCAGTACTCTCAAAATTATGTTCGTATGATTTATCCATGCTAATATTTTAGGCTACAGTTCACTAATTTTCACTGTATAGAATTCAAATCATTGTACAAATTAGCCATAATTTATTTATCTATTCTCTAATAGGTAGATACTTAGGTCTAGTATGGATATTATGGCTATTACTTTTGGCTATTATAAATTATACTGTTATGAACATATTTATCTTTTGGTGTATAAATAGAATACTATCATTTTGGCACAATATGATATTCTGGACTATGCTAAATTGTTTTACTAAGTGGAAGTATCACTGAGAGTATGAGAGTTCCTATGGCTCTATATTCTCACCAACATACTAATCATTCTGATGGGCGAGGAGAACAGTTCATTGAGGTAGTAATTGGCACTTCCCGGATTACTGAGGAGGCTGAGCACCTTCTCATATGTTTAAAGGCTTTTTTGATATTCTCTTTTATGAAATGCCTGTTAAGAAATGAATTGAGCTGGGTGCAATGGCACACACCTGTAATCCCAGCAGCTTGGGAGGCTGAGGCAGAAGGATCACCAGTTCAAAGCCAGCCTCAGTAACTTAGTGAGACCCCAAGCATCTTAGCAAGACCCTGTTTCAAACTAAAATATAAAAAGGCCTGGGATGTGGCTCAGTGGTTAAGTACCCCTGGGTTCAATCCCCCATACAAAAAAAAAAAGAGGGGGTGGGGGAGAGAAAGAAGGAAGGAATGAAGGGAGGAAGGAAGGAAAGGGAAGGAAGGAGAAGAAAGGGAGGGAGGAAAGGAAGAGAGGAAGGAAGGGATGAGTTGAGATTGTCCTTCACATATTTTGGATACGAGTTCTTAGGATTTCTGTAGCACACATTTTCTCTCATTCTGAGCTTGCCTTTTTTACTCTCTCAATGGTGGTTTTTGTTTTTGTTTTTTTGGTGTGTTTTTGGTTGTTTTGTTGAGGAACAGAAATTCTTCAACTTAATGTAGTTAAATTTACCCATTTTTAAAACAAGTACTGCTTTTTGGTTTCTATACTATCATTAAGAAGTTTTATTGTTTCACCTTTCATATTTAAATTTTCAATCTATTCAGGATTAATTTTTATTTTTGGTGTGAAGTAAAGTTCAAATATTTTTATTTTTTTCCATGTGGATATACCTGTTCTGATATAATTTATTAAAAATAACTTATTTCCTAACCTCTCTGTAGTGCCATATTTGCCATGTATCTTACACATATAGCTCTGTTTCTGGGCTGACTATCCTAGTCCATTGGTCTAATTATCTATCCTTGCACCAAAAGTATATTGATTTCATTACTATAGCTGTATAATACATTGAGATGTTTTGTTGAGAAAATCCACTGATCTGATTCCCTTCCTACAGTGTTTTGGCTATTATTGATGCTTTGCATCTCAACCTAAATTATAGAATTGGTATGTCAAATTGCAAAAGTAAAAACACTTTGGGATTTTGGTTACCACAACTTTGAAATCATGGATAAATTCGGAGCAAATATTTTTGTAATACTGAAATTTCTAACCAATGAATATAATATGCCCCTTCATTTATTTAGGTCTTCTTTAATTTTCTTTATAATGTTTTAGGTATTATATACCTTTTGTTTGATTTATTTCTAGGAATTTAATATTTTTGGTGCTATGGTAAATGGTATTTTAAACTTCTTTTGTTTACTGATATTTGTATTGACTTTACTAACATAGAATGTAGATTATTTTTATTTTCTACATATAAAACCACTACTTTTGGATAATGAAATTTTATTTTTTCCTCTTCAATCCTTATGCATTTCTCTGTCCTTTCCTATCTTATTGCCATAGCAAGAAATTCCAGAACAATGTTGAACATAGGTGTGAGAGCAGTCTTGCCTTGTTCCTAACGTCAGGAAGTATACTGCTCACATTTCCTCACTATGTATACTGTTTACAGTAGATTTTTGGCAGATTGCCTTTAAAAGATTAAAAAAATAATGTTTTATTCTCTATTAAAAGATTTGTTTTTAAATCATAAGAGACTAATTTTATCAAATGCTTTTCAGAATCTATCTTTTCTCTTTTATTCTACCAATATGACAATTTTTCAAAACTAAAATAGACTTTTTTGGTTTGGTTTTCAGTTTTTGCTGAAATTCTCTATCTTATTGTTTACCTCCTTAAACATGGTTTTAAAAATGTTTGCGTTTAGCTGAGCATTGGTGGCTCACATCTGAAAGCCCAAGTGGCCTGGGAGGCTGAGGCAGGAGGATTGCAATTTCGAAGCCAGCCTCAATAAATGAGCAAGGTGCTAAGAAATTTAGGGAGACCCTGTTTCAAGAACTAAAAAGGGCTGTGGATGTGTATCAATAGTTAAATGCACCTGGTTCAATCCTTCGTACCAAAAAAAAAAAAAAGTGTGAAGTTTAATTTTGAATTTATGTCTATTTTCAATCTCCATGCTCTTAACCATAATCACATAACCTCTAAAAGGCAGTGTCTATTAATATGGCATGACTCAATTTCTTACATTTAATGAATATAAAATATATCAAGCTAGATATCACAGCTAATAATAAAATTTAGTAAGACATTACTAAATCACATTACCTGGAAAGATACATAAATACATAAATTATTTGAATACAGCACAAAATTTCATAATTGCTTACTAAAGAGGCAACAAGGTCTGTTGAAATTTGAAGAATAAAAGAGAGATTAATGATCTAAAAAAGGTTCATGGGGGAGAAAGGACTTCAGGACTTTAGCTAGGTCTTGGTTCAGGGGGACTATACTCAGTATTATTCAACCTTCTTGAAGACTAGGGTCTAGATTCAGTACTTGTTTTAGTAAAAACAGACAGGCAAATTGGACAAGAGTACACAATTCTAAGAACAGGAGGTACATAAAAATTTGACTCACCAGTGCAGCCAAATAACGAAGCACCTTGTTGTCATTCATCAGCATTTTAATAACATCTTTTCTTGGAGCTTTTGGAATAAGAGCAAAGCAATTCTGAGCAGAATCTTCAATTAATCCATAACCATTGTAAGGAGGTAATTCCTAGAGATACACAGGAATCAAGAAGTAAAGCAGATGCTATTTGTGTTAAAATTACATTAAAGCCAAGTACGGTGGCTCATGCCTATAATCTCAGCAACTTGGGAACCTGAGGCAAGAGGATCAAAAGTTCAAAGCCAGCCTTAGCAATTTAGTGAAACACTGTCTCAAAATAAAATTTAAAAAACCCAAACACTAAAAGGAGCTAGAGATGTGGCTCAGTGGTTAAACTGAGTTCAAACCCTAGTACCCACCCACAAAAAAAAAAAAAAAAATTACATCAAAGTTTAAAAAATCCTCTGGGGAAAAAAATCCTCTGGAAAACACTTATTCAAAACCAATTGCGCTATATACAAATTCAATCAGAAAAAAATAAAATTCCATTCTTCCTTTTTATGATGTTTACTGCTCACAGAAATGACTAATGATGCTACAATGTAACTGCTAGGGCTAGAAACTATTAGTGATGCCCCCTGATTACTTACTACCAAAGCAGGACCTAATCCTACTCTGCCAGTGAAAATGACCTTATGGTCACCCTAAGATGTTAAGACCCATGGGTCTTTCTGGTCTCTTTGTTTTAGGATGCTGGCCTCAGGGTGGCAGATCTGAAAACTCTTTTCTCAGATCACCCAAGTGTGCATGCATTTCTGTGTAAGTTGTAGGTGGCAAAGGGGTGGTCAGGACTTTATTCATACATTTTTTTCTATTTACCTCTATATTTTTAATATTCTTATTTCTTTATTTTTGCCACACAGGAGAGGATGGCAGGTATACTTTTTGAGAACTCAGACCCTTTGTCTACATAGAAGAGCTTAAAGCATCATTATAAAATGCTGAAATTTGTTTACCTAAAATCTTAGGTCAGAGACTAAGTTTTCCTCTTCCACATCAATACTAGGCAAACATCAACAATCTTCTTTTTCTTTGACTCTTTTTTTATCATGTACACTCAGGGAACTCAGCCTGTGTGTATGTGAGTGTGTGTGTGTGTGTATTTTTATATATATGTATATATAAAAAAATATATAAATACATATTATTTATATATATTTGTAAACATACATATATTTAATATAAATATATATTTAATGTATATATACATATATTTAATGTAAAAAATTATTTATAATATATATTTTAAACTTGTACATGCTTTCTCAAAATCTTTTTATATATTATATTCAGGCTCATTATCAAATTAATTCATATAGTCCCCAATTCCAGCTACAACAGGATATCCCCTCAAAAACAAATGACTCCATTATATTCATCTAAGGTATACTAATTGGAATTTCAACCCACTCACCCACTTGTTAGGACTGTAGTTAAAGGTATAATAATGTCCAGAATATGACTAGTGGATTCAGCAGGTGGACAATGGCCTAATTTGCTTCAATTGCAAAACCAATACCCAATAAATATTCAGGTTATTTTGACAGAGGGACCTCTGGCTGAGATATGACACATTAAACATTTGAGTTTCTCAAGAGGCCAGGCAGAAATATCAAAGTGGTGGTCCTGAATTTACTCTGCATATGTATCAATATATAAAGGGAACATCCTGATTAGAGGTGCAATCAGGGTTGAGGAATTTTCAGAGAGGCATTTATAGGTCTCTGAGCCTTATTCTCTCAAATTCCCACTTGAATTTCCTGAATCACACTTAATTTCCCCTGAGTAGAGTAATGACATTTCCTAAATATCGGTCGTCATGGCTGGGGTCCTGGCAATTTGCTTCTTGCACTTCTAAAATAGATAAGCCACTCTGACCATGGGACATCATCATCACTCCTAGATTCTCCTGTTCATATGATATTCCTACCAGAGTTATGCCTGAGCTTTCTTAACCAAGCTACTATACTTTGAGCCTGAGAGTCTCATATTCCTTCAGATATTCTTTTTAGGGACAACCCCAATCAGATTAGCTTTCTTAACACTGGTTCCTTCCTTTTCCTCCAGATGGATCCAGCCAAGATAAAATACATGTGGTCGTTGGATCTATAGTTACTTACTCTTGACCTAGCAGAGCAGTTTGACCTAAAAGTGCCTTGATTCTCGAATTATATATACCCAGTTTATATTTACTACTGTCCTTGGCCATTGGTTTGGCTCTAGCTTTATCTATCTCAATCCTGCTACAGCTTCCCATACTTGTTTTCCATTTATGTTGTTTAGAGTTAAAATAAATGATGTGTAATAACCAAGGATGATTCATGTAAGGACTGAAAGATATTTGCTTCTTGATAACTGGAGCTTTCTTACTCTTCTCTAACAAAGATTTTCAGAGATTGGCAGAGAATTTATTAATATGAGAATTATATATTGTGGAGAAGTCACTAAAAATTAACCAATGCTATGGTTAATATGCCATATGTATGGATGTTTTATTATATATACAGTTTGTTTCTATTAAACATAGAAGCAAGGAGAAGGGGAGAAAAACAAACTGAAATCTACAGTGGTTCTTCAGTTATCTCTGTTCTTTATCCAAGCTTTTCATCCTTTTTTTCCCCTTAAAAGACAGGTTATTGGGGTGGGGGGTGGAGATCATAGTAATGATTATGAGGGTATGAGGGACAGAGGTAACCTAAGACTCAAAAGCTTTCATTGGGTTAAAAGATGGATCAAAGCCTTTTCATTAAGGGCATTACTATGTTGCAGTCCCTGTCCATACTACCTCCTTCTTGTATGAATTTTTGATGTATAATAGAAATTCCTTGTGTCTTACAATGGGCAAGTACCTTAAACTATCATTTTGCCCTGTCTTTATCTAAAAACTAAAGTGGTAGAATAATTTGTTTCATAAAAATCTAGATCTTTTCCTATGATATTTTCTCTGTAGTACATCAACTTCTGCAAAACAATTTTAGCATCAGATGATTAATTATAATTCTTAATCAGTGAACACTCTTTTATGAGTTTTATCAGAGAAAAAACTGACAGCAGGAGCTACCACATTTCCTTCCAGAAATGTTATTGCTCATGGGAACTTATAGTCTACCAAAATCCAAATTCTTCTTTTTAACTGGTTTTATGAAACATTGTTTCTGAAAGACTTGTCTAAAGACATCTGCTGCCTTCCTGGGGAACATAACATATGTTTCCCAGGCAGTCTTCCATAGTCCAGTTCAAAAAACATATTACATATCTCCTATTTGTTAGGCACTGCAATAGGTGCTAGGAGCTGAAAAATGAAAAGAATATAGTCCCTGGCCTCAAAGAAGTTATAGTCCAGTAGAAAATATTCATAAACAGAATTTTTAATATAACTGATGAGTGCCAGGGAGGAGGGAGGCATAAAATACCCCAAGAGCAGAGACAAAAAGCTTTTATTATCCTTGACTAGAACTTTAGAGAAGCTTTCCTGGAGGAGAGAAAGCCAACACTGAGTGTTAAAGTATAAAATGAGCCATGTGAAGGGATGATGGAAAAGTGGTTCAAGCAGATGGAAGAGAACAAGAGAAAGTTTGGCAGAATGAAACAGAACATTCTATTGGCAAAATCTCATGTAATTTAGTATGATTATTGGCTAAGTAAAAGTAAGAGAAGAAGGAAATGAGGCAGAAATGAAGGGCCTGGGCTGGAGGAATTCAATAATTCCATCCTTTTATTTATTCCTTTTGAGGAGAAAAAGCCCAATGATGTGGTTTTATGCACACACCAGCAAAATAAATATGGGGGTAGGTATTAATATCCTATTTTACACATGAGTAACAGTCATAGAGAGATTTGTATGAGGTGCTTCTGTACAAACAGGTATAACAAAAAGCCGGTTTTCTTAGTTCATGATATTATACCATCTTAATACCTTAGATACTTCTTCAATTTACTATATATGTAATTTTTATAACTTGCAATTTTCTTTTGAAATTCTTTAAAAATATGTGCTTTGGATAAAATTCTGAAGGTTCATGTTTATCAGATCACTACTTTGGCACATTATAAGGTGCTATGAACTTATTCTCAGATCAGAGTAGACTTCTGGAATACACAGAATTGTGTGTCCCACTGTGGCTCTAAGAAAGCTATGTTGCAACGAAAGGTCATCTTCCAGCATCTTTAATTAATCAGTCTTTGTTTTGCTCTCAACCATTTTTGTGATATGATAAATATGATGAATAGGAAAAGAATAATGAAATACCCTAGGGTCTGAAATTTTAAAAGATACCTCTTTTTTAAAAAAAAAAATCAAACTGAATAAAAATGTTATAAAAATAATACAAGGGAAAATTTGGGGAAGATGCCAAAGTAGGAAATACCAGGACTCACTCTCTCTCTACCTAAACAACAATTATACTGCAGAATCTGAGGTAGTAATTTTTAAATTCTGGAGTCTCTTGAAGACTTGTAACTTTCAGAAGAAGGCTTAGGCAGTAAATTGGTGAATTTTCATAAATTTCAGCTCTTATACAGTAGCAGCTACCAATCCTATACTCCTCAACCCTGCGGTAAGCAGACTACATTAACTTGCATACAACCAGCAGGAGCCAGAGGAGGCAAAAAAAATTACTCTGTCCTCCAAATATTGGGGATTTGAGTATGGATCAGTGATGGCTATTTCTGATCACAGAGAATTGACAAACAGGCAGATGGCCATTGTTGTTGCACCTCCCTGCACTGCTACAAGCCATTCCCTCTCAGAGGAAGTAACTCTAAAGGTCTGGTACCTCATTTCCTGCATTTCACTATTCTTTTTCCTCTTTTGGAAGCTTGATACTAACAAGAAGGACATTCAAAAACAACTGCATATACAAGGAAAAATTTTAAATTACTGCATAGGAAATATGCAGAAGAGACCCCAAAAGACCTTCATTTTATACCCCAGGCTGATACTTGACACAGAAACTGCCTACAATAATTGAAAATAAAAGTAATGAAAACATAACAACAACGACAACAACAAAACCCCAGCAAACTATAGAGAAAGAGAAGAATCTGATTTCCGGAGTTACCATATTATTAAATTTATATGTCCAGTTTTCAACAACAACAAATTACAGGGTATACAAAGAACTAGAAAAGTATGGCCCTTTCAAGTAGGGAAAAAAATTCAATAGAGCAATCCCTGAAAAAAACTCAGATGGCAGATTTACTAGACAAAGACTTTAAAACAACTGTCTTGAAAGTACTCAAAGAACAAAAGGAAGATATGAAAAAAGTCAACAGAAACATACATGGACAAAATGGAAATATGAATTGAAAAATAAAATACCCAAAAAGAAATTATGGAGCTGAAAATTAAAGTTATTCAAATGCAGACTTGAATCAGCAGAAGAATCAGTGAACTTGAAGTTAGGATAATGGAATTTATTGAGTCTAAGGAATATAAAGGAAAAAAATGGGGAAAATGAACAGAGTTTAAGGTGTCTGTGGGAATATGCCAATATACGCACTGTATGTGTCTTAGGAAGAGAAAAGAAAGAGAAAGGATAAGAGATAATATTTGAAGGAAATAATATCTGGAAAGTTTCCAAATTTGATGAAATCCGTGAATAAAAATATCTAATGAGCTTGATAAACAAGTAAGATAAATTCAAAGAGACTCACACCGTAAGATATATTATAATCAAACTTTCAAAATACAAAGATAAAAAGAGAATCTTGAAAGCAGCAAGAGAGGGTATCTTGTCACATACAAGGGATCATCAATAAGATTTTCAGCAGGTTTATTATCAGGAACATTGAAGGCCAAAAAGGCAGTGGACAAAAGAACAAAATTTATCAGCCAAGAAGACAATATGCAGCAAAGATGCCCTTCAAAAATGGGAAAGAAATTAAGACATTCTAGACAAACAAAAGTTGAGGGAGTTAGTTGCCACTACAACTGACCTGCAAGAAAAGGAAGTCCTTCAGGGTTAAATGAAATTAAAGGATGCTATGTAGTAATTTGAAGATGTATGAAGAAATAAAGATCTTGATAAAAGTGAATACATAGAGACTCATTAAAAGACTAATATATTACATTTTAAAATTGTCTAAAAGCTAGTATTATTGTAACTTTGATTTGGAACTTCCTGTTTTCTACATAATTTATGAGGGTTGGGGATGTGGCCTGGTAGTAAAGCACTTGTCTAGCATGCATAAGGCAAGGCCCCAGGTTTGATCCCTAGCACACACATACATACACACAAAACCACAATTTAAAAGAACTATTTAATACCACTGAACTTCTAAGTGATCAAGATGGTATGCTGGTGTGTATTTGATCACAATAAAAATAAATGAAAAATTTAAAAAATAAAATGTTTTTTAAGCAATGCCTGCTTTGATACAAAAAGAAAAATTAAAGTCAAACATAGGAGCATAAAAAGGAAGTTCTCTGGTCATCTGCACCTCCACATTCCCACATGTTGAACCAACTGCCATTAATAATATAGCTGACATCCCTCCAGGTTTTTTCCTCAGTATATATAAGCAGATATTATATAGGGGAATTTACAAAAATAGGATCATGTTATAAATATAAATACACTTAAAATGTATTATGCACATTGGACCATGTTAGTACACACAGACTTACTTCCTCTTTTACAGGCCCTTAAGTCTTCTAATTATATGGATTAACATATCTTAATTTAAATTGTCAACCGCCTTATACTTTATTTCACTATAAAACACATATCTCTTTGTCTTCAAAAACATATTTTCTAGGCCAAAAGTATGTAACGTTTTATTTTTAAAAATCAAAATGATGACAAACCACCCTTCAGAAAAATTCTGATTGGCTTTCCTATTAATAGTATGTGAAAATTCACATGCCTTCACATGGGCAAAGATTGGATATTGTGAATCTTTTTTAAATTAGACAAACTCAAAAACATTATAATTTTCAATCCATTTCTTTGATTATTAGATTGAAGGTCTTTTCATGTGTCAATTGGCTACTTATATTTCTTTTGTGAACTACTCTATTACATATTCTTCATTTGTTTTTTAATTGAGCATTCATATAGGAGTTCTCTTTTAATTTTTTTCAATTTCTACATAAAGTAATTTTTTTCTCACCATACTCAGAACTACTATACCTGTTTTACAGGAGGTGGTTCCTGCTTGCTCACATCAATGCGTGGTAAATCAGAAATTCCAAACTTCTCTTTGTAGAACTGTCGAGTAAATGGATCACAATCATAAATGAAAAAATTTCTCCCAAGGATAGTGAGTGGTTTCCCAACAATAAAGTCTTTGGCAGTGTACCATTCCAACACCTCTTGATCAGAGATTTCCAGCACACACTGAGGGAAGTTCTCTAACATAAGGTGGGATTAAAGAGAAAAGAGGAAGGAATGAGCATAAGGGGAAAAAACCCTGGCACATGAATTGAGTATTCTTGAGAACCTGGGGCAGTACAGTCTTTTGCTTACATTCCCACAAGGTTGTGTTTTTCCATCTATTGACAGGACACACAAACAATATCCCAAAGGGTTTTTATAAAGTCTTTCTCCCAAATGCAGCTGGAATATCACTAAAAGTCACTAAGCTTAGCAAAATCAATGCTTAGAAGAAATCACTACAGAAAGAAAGAACAAATGTCCTTCTCTATAAAACATATAAGATGATCTTAATGATGAGGAGGGATCCAACCAAATGAGGTACAACTTCCCACTCATTTATTCATCCAACATTTATTAGTGACTAACTATACATTAAGTGTAACACTAAGTATTGTGATTGCAATAATTGCTAATATAAATACAATTCCTGCCTTCTTGGAGAAAATATTCTGTTTGGGGAGACAGATACTAAACAAATACACAAATAATGATTTCATTTCAGCATAATCATTGATGTGAGGACAGTGTGACGTAGTATTGGAGGCAGGGTTCAGGGACAATGAATGAGATGATTATAGCAATCTATGCATGAAGGAATTAACAAATTTTTAAATGTAAAATCAGTATTGCATTTGGGGTATATTTACTGATTATTAGTTATGGAAATTCATTGAGACCTGAGTTTCAAAATCAGTCTTTTCAGAATGGATTTACATTTGCTTTTAACAGGCAAGTGTGGGCATTACTAAACCAATCTAAATTTTCAATTTTGGATTCTGGGAACAAACAGAATATGTAAATTCTGGCTCTAAATGTGAGAATGTTGGTTTGTGGGGATTTCTTTAGAGGATTCTTTTTTCCCATTCTGTTCAGAGTCAAGACCTGAAGAAGAAAGTAAATTTTTAATTTATGTCAGCAGAGTGGTTCCCTCATGATAGTTCTAAGATCCTTCTAAGATCCCAGCTTCATAGGTAGAGTCCTATCTTCTTACCCTATTTATTCCTCCTGGCCTTTTCTCCTATCTTCCTGTATATCCCTGCACAAACTCCACATCTAGTATTTGCTTCTTTGTGAACTGATGTTTTTTACCTCACTTCTTGCCTAAGGGCTCCCTTCCTTTGTCACCATTTCCACTATGCCAGGTATAAAAAAAAGAGCTATATTTGTATTTGAAATTATAACATATTAGGGTTTCTATAAATAAACAATCTATCATATTACTGAAATGAAAGTTTCAGGATCTGCATTATGATAGGCAATTTTAGTATACAGAGCCACTAATATTATTTCTAAATGAAACATTATCACATGATATTGTGAATTCATGCTATTGATGTATATTTCTCACAGGTTATAAAGACTTTGAGATATGGCCTTCTATTAGTTTTAGATTTCCAATACCTAGCACAATATTTCCTTCATCCATAAGTATATTAAACTAACATTTTTAAATGATGGAATGAGCTACTAAACATGCTCAGAGAAGTGAGGAAAAACATTCAACTTTCTGGAATACTAAAGGTCCAACGAAGAGGTATTCCAGATTCATTTAAAAGATAAGACTCAAGTATAGAAGTTGTCTAAAGAAAAACACATTTTCAGAACCTTGTGCACTGCATTCAACAGCTGAACAGAAGGCTTTTAGTAAGCCAAACACGCATTTGACATTACCTTCAAGCAATTACCTTCAACAATGAAAGAACTTTTAGAATCTTGATACTTCAGTTATGTCCATCATAAATATATAATTTTGATTCATCTTAATGACTTAAAAGAAAACCCTGGTTTAGAGAATTTTTGAAAGACACTTCCATGGCTGTGGCTGTGGCTCAGTGGTAGAGTGCTTGCCTAGCATGTGTGAGGCACTGGGTTTGATTCTTAGCACCACATATAAATAAATGAATAAAATAAAGGTCCATGAACATCTAAAAAAAAGATACTTCCATAATTTCCTATTATACTTGGCCCTCATTGTTCATTGTTTCTGCATCTACGATTCAACACATGCATATTAAAAGTATTTTTTAAAATATATATATAGCATCTGTGCTGAATGTGTACAGACATTTTTTTCCCTGGAATTATTCCCTAAATAGCCATTTATATACCCTTTACATTGCACTTTGCATTATAAATAATGTAGAGATTATTTTAAATATATATGATGATGTATGTAGTTAATATGCAAATATTATGTATTTTATATAAGGAGCTCGAGCATTGTGGATTTTGATTTCCTCAACAGGGTCCTGAAACCTATCCCTCTTGGATACTTCTTTATTTCTGTAGTGTCTGTTGTGATATTTCCTTTATCATCAGTATGTGAGTAATTTGAGTTTTCTCTCTCCTTCTCTTCATTAGTATGGTTAAGGGTCTGTCAGTTTTATTTATTTTTTTCAAAGAATGAACTTTTTGTGTTGTCAATTTTTTCAATTATTTCTTTTGTCTCAATTTCATTGATTTCAGCTCTGATTTTAATTATTTCCTGTCTTCTACTGCTTTTGGTGTTGATTTGTTCTTCTTTTTTTTTTTTTTTAATTTTTTATTGTGGGTTGTTCAAAACATTACAAATTTCTTGACATATCATATTCCACACTTTGATTCAAGTGGGTTATGAACTCCCACCTTCACCCCATACACAGATTGCAGAATCACATCAGTTACACATCCATTGATTTATATATTGCCATACTAGTGTCTGTTGTGCTCCACTGCCTTTCCCATCCTCCATCATCCCCCCTCCCCACCTCTCCCCTCCCCTCCCCTCCTCTCTCTCTACCCCCTCCACTGTATAACCCTGAGGGTCTCCTTCCATTTCCATGCAATTTCCCTTCTCTCTCCCTTTCCCTCCCCCCTCTCATCCCTGTTAAATGTTAATCTTCTTCTCCTGCTCTTTGTCCCTACTCTGATCTTAGTTACTCTCCTTATATCAAAGAAGACATTTGGCATTTGTTTTTTAGGGATTGGCTAGCTTCACTTAGCATAATCTGCTCTAATGCCATCCATTTCCCTGTAAATTCTATGATTTTGTCATTTTTTAATGCAGAGTAATACTCCATTGTGTATAAATGCCACATTTTTTTTATCCATTCGTCTATTGAAGGGCATCTAGGTTGGTTCCACAGCCTTGCTATTGTGAATTGTGCTGCTATGAACATCGATGTAGCAGTGTCCCTGTAGCATGCTCT